ATGATGAGAAGCGCTCATTGCGCAACCTCTGCTGCAGGCAACCAGTGATGCAATTGAACCCAGGTTTGTGTTCAATAAACCCTACAAAATACAAATAAAACAGAACACAGAGTCAGATGCTACAAATGCAATACGCATATATACAGACGACTCAAAAACCGAAGAAGGCTCAGGATGTGGAGTGTACTGCAGATCACTAAGCCTAAGGATCGAATAGGAAATGGAAAAACTACCAGGGTGGTTCAAATAGAACTGGCTGGTATCTCAATCTGCACTGATAGCAGACAAGCCCTCTTAGCCTTGAACAGACAATGTGTTACCTCAGAGCTAGTAGCAAAGTGCCACCAAGGTTCAACCAACACGTCGGCAGATAATAACATTATCCTGAGGTAGGTTGAAGGACACGACAGGAGTATAGGTAATCGCATTGCTGACTCTTTAGCCAAGGAAGCGGCTGGACTAAGAATTTTAGGAACCAGTGGCACCTACGGTCTGATGACTTTGACAACTGCGAACCTTACACCTATGCTCAATCCCTAAAGAGATGGGATGAAATCAAAGAATGCAATTTTGCCAGGATCACCCTGGGCGACCCTGGGAAGCTGGCGACGAAGTAATATCTGGCGGTGACTAGGAAAAACATACGCTCGACAGTAGGATTTCTGACTGACTACTGTCAACTGACGAAACACATCCATATTAAGGGGCTAGTAGACACACCTCTATGCAGGATGTGTGAACAGGATGATGAAACTGTCAGACATGTCCTATGCGAGTGTACGGAGTTATCGTCAATGAAAGAGTGTGTGTTCGGCGAGTCTTGGCCTACACCTGCCAATATAAAAAAGAAGTTTCCTAGTGACCTGTCCACCTTCCTGGAAAGGACAGGATGGACGATGACCTAGGAGGACAACTCCTCTGGAGGATGAACAATGGGTCACATGTGGCCTAAGTGCTGTGGGCCTACACTCACCCTCCCTACTCTACAGTTACAGAAGTTATGAAATATTCTACGATTCTGGAAATTTTCAAAAGAAAGGAAGAGAACAATAAATTCTCGAATAAACTCTACAGATAAACGTAACTTCCAGACACAAACTGGAAGAAAAAAACATCTCGAAACAACTACTTTCATATGATGATTGAATCACGCAAAAGAAAAAATGCTTTCGAAACACTGAATTATACAAAATCACTTTTTTCTATCCAAATACAGGATTGCTACACAATATAGTATAAGAGCACTCACATAGAAAGCATTCATCCTCAATGATGGATATCCAATGTTTCGGAATAAAAGACGTGCCTCTTCAGCTCCAATCTATTCTGGAAATAATTGCTTTCCTTCTTTTTTTTATGAATATGAAGAAGTTCTATGATTCTATGATTATATTGAAGATGTATTCAAGAAAGAAGATGAAGAGTGCATGAAAAAACCTCAATGGTAAGCACCACCGCGTTACTATATTCATTTATGCATGCTATTATTATTTTCTGTATGTATTCATTACTCCAAAAATGGTTTGCCTCGTTGAACATTATACAGAATTTTCATCTGGTTAAGAGTAATCCAGCGAATATGAAATGAACATATAAGTGAGTACAAAAAAAACAGAAAACCCAAGAAAATATAACTGTGAAGAATAAAGTTGCTTCGTCGAGCAGCATTATAATCATTCTATTGGTACTTCAATAGATGGAGTCCTGTCTTTGATAACTAATGAATAGTCAAACATCAGTTCTGTATGTTGGTGTGATCAAATTTTAGGGTAGGTGCAAAGTGTTCATTTATTTTATCATAGATTTTTCTGATACGTATCAACTTGTTAGTAATCACACGTTAAAAGGTGGGACCTCGTTAATTCTTAGTCCCCACAAGTTTCAACTTCTGAGGGTTGTCGTTCGTAGGGGTGCGAAAGCTGGTTGAAGAACATATTTTTTCATACGGATTTTTTTTCTACAAAAACAGATTCGAATTCTATTCAGTACATCACAGTCATAGATATAAATTCAGGTTTTTTTTACCTGCTAGAGTCCAGAACACTATGCCTTGCCAAATATCCAGCAGAACTGTAGAGGCAAGTATAATGTTCATTCCTATAGATATGACATTGAACAGTGGAAAAATAATGGACGGCAGAAATGATGCTCTTGATTTGTCTGAAGAGTTTTGTGGTAATACTGTTATAATAAGAGTTGCTGATACCAAACCTGAAAGTGAATTGAACATTTTTATCAACGATTATTTTTCAAAAGTGGGTGGTGGGTTATGGATTTGGCAGTTATCAACTCTTCGGGTAACTGTAACGGCCAAATCAGAAAAAGTCTGATATATGTTAAGAAGTAGCTATTGTTCCTTGATAAGAATTAGAATATGTCAGCCATATCCATTATACAGGAGGTGTCCAATACCCAGTAACGACTTCTCATACCTATTGCTATCTTGTTCATTAGACTTCAGATACTTGTTTTCTAGGCCTCATTGACGGAAAATTCTTCACGAATCCAGTAACCACAAAACAGTAGAAAATGATTATTAAGTGAAGCACTTGAAATGACCAATAAATGCTTGTAGCAAAATGGGGAATTTTTTCATTTGTACTATTATATATTTTCAATGTTTGAGATTTGAGTTGAACTGAATATTGATTTGAGTAGAATTTTGCTTCGGCTTCTCTGAAATCAGCATCAACCAAATAAGTTGAAGAACTAAATCATTGTTATAATTGGCCAAGTATACTGACTTCCATATTTTTCAAACACTTTTGTGACGATTTCAAAGACTTTTACAAAAACCGCGACATGTGTTTCGCTATACAATAGCTTTCTCAAGTGTTAATAATGCGTTGAAAAGTTACGAAATCTGGTCTGACTCCTCTGGACCTGTACGTTGAGGAAGTTGCGTTAATGGCCGTGTTACGATTGCGCACTGCTGGTGTAAACCTCGAAGTGGGAATGGGTCGAAGCTGAGTCTATAGCTAGAAGCGCTCACTGCGCAACCTCTGCTGCAAGCAACCAGTGTTGCAATTGAACCCAGGTTTGTGTTCAATAAACCCTTCAAAATACAAATAAAACAGAACACAGAGTCAGATGCTACAAATGCAATACGCATATATACAGACGAATCAAAAACCGAAGAAGGTTCAGGATGTGGAGTGTACTCCAGATTACTAAGCATAAGGATCGAATGGGAAATGGAAAAAATACCAGGGTGGTTCAAACAGAACTGGCTGGTATCTCGAACTGCACTGATAGCAGACAAGCCCTCTTAGCCTTGAACAGACAATGTGTTACCTCAGGGCTAGTAGCAAAGTGCCACCAAGGTTCAACCAACGCGTTGGCAGATAATAACATTATCCTGAGGTAGGTTGAAGGACACGACAAGAGTATAGGTAATCGCATTGCTGACTCTTCAGCCAAAGAAGCGGCTGGACTAAGAATTTTAGGAACCAGTGGCTCCTACGGTCTGATGACTTTGACAACTGCGAACCTTACACCCCATGCTCAATCCCTAAAGAGATGGGATGAAATCAAAGAATGCAATTTTGCCAGGATCACCCTGGGCGACCCTGGGAAGCTGGCGACGAAGTAATATCTGGCGGTGACTAGGAAAAACCTGCGCTCGACAGTAGGATTTCTGAGTGGCTACTGTCAACTTACGAAACACATCCATATTAAGGGGCTAGTAGGCACACCTCTATGCAGGATGTGTGAACAGGATGATGAAACTGTCAGGTATGTCCTATGCGAGTGTACGGAGTTATCGTCAATGAAAGAGTGTGTGTTCGGCGAGTCTTGGCCTACACCTGTCAATATAAAAAAGAAGTTTTCTAGTGACCTGTCCACCTTCCTGGAAAGGACAGGATGGACGATGACCTAGGAGGACAACTCCTCTGGAGGATGAACAATGGGTCACATGTGGCCTAAGTGCTGTGGGCCTACACTCACCCTCCCTACTCTACAGTTACAGAAGTTATGAAATATTCTACGATTCTGGAAATTTTCAAAAGAAAGGAAGAGAACAATAAATTCTCGAATAAACTCTACAGATAAACGTAACTTCCAGACACAAACTGGAAGAAAAAAACATCTCGAAACAACTACTTTCATATGATGATTGAATCACGCAAAAGAAAAAATGCTTTCGAAACACTGAATTATACAAAATCACTTTTTTCTATCCAAATACAGGATTGCTACACAATATAGTATAAGAGCACTCACATAGAAAGCATTCATCCTCAATGATGGATATCCAATGTTTCGGAATAAAAGACGTGCCTCTTCAGCTCCAATCTATTCTGGAAATAATTGCTTTCCTTCTTTTTTTTATGAATATGAAGAAGTTCTATGATTCTATGATTATATTGAAGATGTATTCAAGAAAGAAGATGAAGAGTGCATGAAAAAACCTCAATGGTAAGCACCACCGCGTTACTATATTCATTTATGCATGCTATTATTATTTTCTGTATGTATTCATTACTCCAAAAATGGTTTGCCTCGTTGAACATTATACAGAATTTTCATCTGGTTAAGAGTAATCCAGCGAATATGAAATGAACATATAAGTGAGTACAAAAAAAACAGAAAACCCAAGAAAATATAACTGTGAAGAATAAAGTTGCTTCGTCGAGCAGCATTATAATCATTCTATTGGTACTTCAATAGATGGAGTCCTGTCTTTGATAACTAATGAATAGTCAAACATCAGTTCTGTATGTTGGTGTGATCAAATTTTAGGGTAGGTGCAAAGTGTTCATTTATTTTATCATAGATTTTTCTGATACGTATCAACTTGTTAGTAATCACACGTTAAAAGGTGGGACCTCGTTAATTCTTAGTCCCCACAAGTTTCAACTTCTGAGGGTTGTCGTTCGTAGGGGTGCGAAAGCTGGTTGAAGAACATATTTTTTCATACGGATTTTTTTTCTACAAAAACAGATTCGAATTCTATTCAGTACATCACAGTCATAGATATAAATTCAGGTTTTTTTTACCTGCTAGAGTCCAGAACACTATGCCTTGCCAAATATCCAGCAGAACTGTAGAGGCAAGTATAATGTTCATTCCTATAGATATGACATTGAACAGTGGAAAAATAATGGACGGCAGAAATGATGCTCTTGATTTGTCTGAAGAGTTTTGTGGTAATACTGTTATAATAAGAGTTGCTGATACCAAACCTGAAAGTGAATTGAACATTTTTATCAACGATTATTTTTCAAAAGTGGGTGGTGGGTTATGGATTTGGCAGTTATCAACTCTTCGGGTAACTGTAACGGCCAAATCAGAAAAAGTCTGATATATGTTAAGAAGTAGCTATTGTTCCTTGATAAGAATTAGAATATGTCAGCCATATCCATTATACAGGAGGTGTCCATGTCAGTATCTGGAGTTTGCTACAAATTATTATACAAAAAAATTAAGAAGTTGGTAGTTTCCTTCTAGCTCATAAAAGATTGGTTATTATCGAGTGACCAGTTTTCTTTTGAAATACAATTTCCTTATGTTCTCTATGAGAGTAGTTGGTAAATGGTTGACAAATATTGTTCTTATAGTTCTTTGACCCATGGATTTAGGTTTTCGTAGAATGGCGAGTTAGATTAAGTGGTTTTCGTGTCATCATGTGTAACATGGGAGCTTTGTAGACTTCTTTGTCTATTTGAAAAGAGTAAACGAGCGTGGTCATGTGTCTAGATTGAAAATCGTTTCAAGTTTTCTGAGTGTGTTCCAGCATCTTAGGTGAGATTGTACCAGTGCATAATACATTGAAAGAATTTCTTCAATATTCAATATGCATTTGAGAGAGCTGAAGTGGGTTAAAGGGCACGACAGGAGTGCTCAATCCTTAAAGACANTGGGATTGTACCAGTGCATAATACATTGAAAGAATTTCTTCAATATTCAATATGCATTTGAGAGAGCTGAAGTGGGTTAAAGGGCACGACAGGAGTGCTCAATCCTTAAAGACATGGGATGAAATCAAAAAATGCAATATTGCCAGGATCACCCTGGGCGACCATGTGAAGCTGGCACCGAAAAACTGTCTGGCAATGACCAGGAAAAACCTACGCTTAACAGTAGGATTTCTGACTGGCCACTGTCAACTAAGGAAACACCTCCATATTATGGGGCTAGTGAACACACCTCTATGCAGGATGTTTGAACAGAAAGATGAAACTGTCAGGCATGTCTTAAGCGAGTGTCCGGAGTTATCGTCAATAAGAGAGTGTGTGTTCAGCGAATCTTGGCCAACACCTGCCAATATAAAGGAGATGTCTCCCAGTGTGCGTGTGCGTTGTGCGTGATGCTTCGCAATAGAATTTCAGATTGCAACAATATGTTGAAATAATTTGTTTGAGACAATAATGAGTGGTTCAACCATTCAACCATTAAGAAGTTATCTCTTTGGTATCAACAATCCCAGTTCACAAAATGGTCTTCAAACTACTGAAACCGAAATTTCTCAGCGAAATTAGAAATCATTGGATTTACTCACATAAAATACTAGGCCATAATATATTGATGATCCTCATTACATACAATGACATTGCAACAGAGGATCCTACAATCAAAATCAAACACAAGGATGCCACTGTAGAAGTCAGTCTCGTTGATCTTCGATTTTCATGAAATTTTCCAACAGTCGCTACCTGAAAAAATAACAGATGCGTTCTGACATAATAAATAACGAATAGTAAATTACTTTTCCGAAATGTTAAGTCTCGAAGTTGGTTGATCTTTTCTCCCAAAGATATTTCAATAATAAAACTAATAATGTGTTCACTCATTATCATCAAAAATTCCTTCAGATGTGACGATGAAGCATTTTCGCAACTAATCAACAGTCTTACCTTAAGCCCCTCCTTATATTCTTCAACAACCAAATCTATATCAGTCGAACTGCCAGAGTCCTCATCTTCGCTGCAAATAACCAAATCATCACCGTTTTCAGAGACACTGTCTTCAGCTAGATCGATATTAATCGATTTATTGTTGTAATCGTCCATCAGCAGACATTCCCTTTCTTCTGAAATAAAAAAGCCACTCACTCTCATATAACCGAAAAGTTCGTGGATCTCACCAACTCTCTTGTTTTTAGAGCTCACTAACTTACGCGTGGTGTGGCTGGGAGAGCTCACTCTATGGATGTACTGGGGCTTGGGTGTGAACCAAGACTTCACCTTCTCCTTCAGAGCTGATATATGCTGAATAGAAATGGAGGGTTTCACGGGATTTTGACCCAGCTTACTGTACTGAATGTTGGTGTTGTGAACTAGAAAAAAGTTATTGGGAAATATAGAACACCCAACAAGAATCTAGCTTCACAAAAATAAATGAGTTACACGCAATCGATGTCACTACAAAATCATCGTAATGGTAATAGCGATAAATGAAAATAGTGAGTTTGGAGTTTCTTGCCTAATATTCAACTGTATGCTATTGGCAACAAATCTGATGCTGCAGTGTGATATTTGACATCTGGGTATTCACATATTGGAATTGAAAGGTCTGTATTTGTGCTTCTGTTTGTTCAAAGAAGAAACATCTTTGTATCTGCAGATTTTTCGAACCGTTCAATGCTAAGAGTTGACTACATTTTTAATGAGAAAACTATGATTGTGGTTAGGTTAGGTGCGAACTGAGTGGGTTGATGAATCTGACGAAGAGTTTATTGACTTTCTGTTACTTTATTTGATGAATGTTTTCTAGGTTAGATGGCGAACACTCAAAACCTTGTTTGGTGCATGACGGAGTAGGCACAGCAGCTCTGCTGTTCCATTAACTTCTAAACTAAGATGCCATACTGTCTTTCAACAGTTCAACTCTCTGAATACACTGACTTAAACGACAGTAGCTGCAAAGTAGGCTTTTCAGACTTACAATTGTCTGGTGACGCTTTGGATGATGCACCAATCCTGGTAGATTCAGCCAGAAGAATGAAATTTGTTCTTCAGTTAAGGTATTCAGCAGTTCCAGTGAAACTGCTTTCAACGCCCTCCTTTGCTGAAGCAGCTTCTTCCCCTTCCAAGAAATCAGACTAGTGATGATATAATATGTTGAGTGATGATTATGGTGCTTCACTTTTTGAACGGCTGCTTGGGAGGTTCATTAGTATCACTGAGTACTGAGTTGAACAAAGAATGTCAAGTATAATAACGCATTGATTCCGGATATGGGTTATCTCTGACATTATTATATCTGACCTGACATTATTATATCCGGTTGCGAGACATTTATCTTCTTGAAGAAAACCGATGCTTGAGTTTTTGTGGCATTGATTTTTTTAACGATAGTTGATTCCAACAATGCATTTGTGGATTAATCTAGCACTACTGATGACTATAGCGGTTTGAAACAACGCTAATAAATGCTTCCTTCTTGGTCTCTGGTTTCATTAAGAGAAGTTATACTTGGACGTCATAGATGCTCAAATTTTTTTGAATTATCAGACTGATACGTGATGACTTCCACATACCTATTCATTAATTTGACAATTTGACTATGAAATTGAATTGAAAATATTCTTGTAAATTATGCCCTAAGGAAAATGATGCCAGCCGCCACTGGTAGCCATAAACCAGTTGTGACGTAGCTGAGAGCGTGCGAATGTTCGATGTTCGCTGCCGTACTAGATATGGCGAGAATAATGCTATCGGCTTTGATGGAATTTCTAGGAATTTTCCAGCGCCTTCGATTGCTAAAAATAACCGCCATCCACTCGCTCATCGATACAGTCAAGTGGAAGGTACAGTGCGGTACGCGGAGCGATTTTGTAAGGCCATAGATACTCGAATAATAGTTTAAGTGTTCGTTATATTAAAAGTGAAATAAAGTTAAGTTTGATTATTTTTCGTGTATTCAATTATTGGTCAATCCACGGTGAAAAACGTTACAATGTTTCATATAAATCACAATTTAACAGTTTTCAAAATATTTACCCAAATAGTCGTAGTTGATTTCTGGTTTGTATCTGTTGTAAAGTAATTGGAGAGAAACTATAGCGCACTTCACCAGGGTGGCAGTATTCAGCAATTTTATCAAATGTGATAAAGGGCAAGCAAACGCTAAAATGGCTGCAAGGCTACCTGAAATAACAAAATTGTTGTTAATAGCTCATTAATATGGGATGCCTCAAAGAAACATTGAAGTCTATCTATAGAAACATATAATGGATGACAACAAAATCATTAAATTGATTAAGACCTTCGCGGCCAAGATTTTCAGTGTTACGATCTTGTTTGGGTTTTAAGGCAGTCGTGGTTTGGAGCTGTATTCTAACAGTGTCTGGCTTCCTCAGAGGTCTATTTGTCCTGATGGTTCACCGTTGACTCGTGATTTCTAGTTCGTGAGTTTTCACGTTGACACAGGTAGCCCACCTTTCCAGTTGGTGCTTTGTTATTGGCCAAAGTGTTATTACCTGCTGCGTTGCACTGCTGCCACCTTAGCATCTTTTAGTAAGGGAATCCAAATCCGGTTGACGGTTATCGCCTCCTCTTTTCTGTTGTAGTTTTCTCTATGTTTATGTATTTCTATGGCTTCCCGTACAAGCTGAATCTGATATCCATGAACGGGTGCGAGTAGGTTCACATCTTCAAACAAGTGAAACTGCTTTCAAC